TATATATATATACTCTGTGTATATATATTGTTCAGCACCTCACCTTCCATTCTTTCATTTAAGGAGTGCACACATGCACACATGGGCACGCACACACACATACACACACACCCCACAGAGCATCTTACCTCTGCCACAACTCTCTTCATCACTGCCATCCACACAATCCTGAATTCCGTCACATAGCCATCGAATTGGAACACAGTATGCTCTATTTTTGCATCGAAACTGATCTTCCTTACATTCAGTCACACAGTTCATCTGTTCAAATACAAATGGTCACGGTGGTTTTTAGTTAACTGTAATGATGCAATCACACACAAAATAAACATGCAGCTTATAAATAGTGGAACTCTGCCATAAAATGGGATTTCTTTAATTTGACTTAATAAATACAACCTCTACAAATGACAGCTTGCGTTAGTAGACAGATAGCATGCTTTTATATTTACTCTGATGATCACATTCTGTATTCCTGTCTAACTTTTGATACAGTGCTAATTATCAGGGTTCTGGTTATTTTCATTACATTTGATTTTCCAATTCTAGTTCGTATACAAAGATTTTAATCAAATGATAGATTTTACCTCATCTGAACCATCTGCACAATTGAGTTCTCCATTACATTTCAAAGACGCTGCCAGACATCCTCCACTGGTACACATATATTCGTTTGATGAGCAAGTATGAGAGGCTAAACACAATTACACAGTTGAGATGTTAGGTACAATAAAAGGAATAACGATTAGAAATTGAAAATATATAAATTTATGAAAATGAATTTTTGACCAGAAATAAATTATATTATTTTAAAATGTCCAACTACCAGCATTAAAGTGCATAAATTATGCTTTACACCACCATTGTATTACAAGAGAGGCATTTCAAAGATGAAAGGAGCTGTGTGGTAAGAGTTTAATACAATAGGCTAAACAAATAAGAACAAAAAAACCACAAGATCTTGTTTGATTTTGAAAGGTTAAGTTACTTTCTCACAATTTAAAATTACTTGAAAAAGTGTCAAATTATTTCAAGACTTCAAAAAGATTAAGTATTCTTTAAAATTATTAATCCATATACACATCAATTAAAACAAATATGAAAGCTTTGGCATAGTACAGGATCTAGTAATACCTGTTCAGCCTTGTTGATATACATACAGTATTAAATTCATTTTTCTAAGCATGCTATCTTGAGGTTTAAATATCAACAGTTGTATGATTAACAGAGTCTATATAATTTACTATTTTTTTCCTTAAACACCATTTTTAAGTGGATAAATTACTGTCACTTCCCAGTTCTAATTAGTTAACATAAAATTTAAGATACCTACATTTTGTTTGTGGGTTTGGGTTTTCCAGGCTTGCATTAAAAATTCTGGAGTTCAGTTTTATATTATATAACTAAGCAGCCTTACATTTTTACACAATGATTTTTGGATCTGATTCCTTATCCAAGAATGCAACAACCTTCTCTTGAGTTTTAATTTCTTTTAACTGAAAGATGACTAAAAACATGTAGAGATGAAGTAAGAAAAGAAGATGTGCTCCATTAGAAATATGGAGAATGGACAGAGCAGGGGTTCAATGACTGTAGGGAGGGTTGTGTATCTGAGTCTCCACCCTGTCTTTCAGAACAATTATTTATGTTTACACATAAATTATAGTATGATTTTGTGAATAGTTTTTCTATAAGGTAATGTAATTAGTACATCTAAATAAGTGTTGAATGTTTAAGGAGCATATTTATAAAGCCATATTTAAGGAATAGAAATGAATAAATTAAATTTTTTTCTATACCCTGGGTGATTTCCTAATGTGAATTTGATTTGGCAGAAGATGTAAATACAAATAACATTCCCACGTTGTCACCTGGCACATTCAGACCACTGCCATCTGCTTCATTACCTCAGTTTCTACGACTGAAAACTTACATGACTTTCATCTATCACTTGCAACATATTCTGTTTTGTTAAATGGGAAGCCAGTTATAAGAGGTATGATAAGATACAGAAACCAGAAATTAAGTGTGGATTATAGTTCTTGGATCCCTCATATAAGTAAGAAACAGATATGCCAAAATGAGTTTGGAACATATGAAAGACAAGTAATTAATTTATCAACAGATACTTCATACCATTTCTTAGAAAATAATAAACACATGTACATGTCAGGGTGCTCTGTAAATCTTTGCTTAGATTTACATTCTATCAAGAACATCAGTTGCATTGGATACTTGGTTCTCCTTTTACCTGGCTCACAGTTTTTCTCATCTTCCCCATATTTACAGTCTTCGTGGCCATCACATTTCCATTTTGCTGACAGACACTGACCATTGGAACACTGGAACTGATCTTTGGAACAACTTGTTTCACAATTTTTCTGTCAGATATAAGAAGGAGAGAATTAAATGAAGCAATTTAAAAAATGTCTGACACGGAAGAAGACATCTAGAAACATGTATAGGAATTGATAAGTTTAGAAACCAAATTGACTGCACGCAGTACCTCAGGCAGTCGGTGTCAGCCCATGAGTATAACAGGGCTATGAAAGGCTTCCACTTGCTTTTTTCTCTAGGAGTAGTTAGAAATGTAGACTGAGGAAAGAACAAGATCCCACGATTCCATCATACTAATTAAATTGCTCCAAGTGGATCATTCTTTAATAGCTATGAAGTGATGGATTTGGATGACTGCAGCCGTTAATGTAAAATTTGGGAGAAATTAAAGGTTAGGAATATTCCTTAGCAATAACATCCAGTTCCCATAGCTAAGGTGCAGGCAGCCTGTGAAAGGCTCCGAAGGAAGTGTGCTGTGCTGTGCTGGCAGTGTCTGTCCTAGTGTTCTCTCTGCTCTTCTCCTTTGTCCTGTGCTGGTCCTTTCACAGTTCAGTTGGTGTTTGTGAATCAGCTGCTTTCTTCTGACATTTGTTCCTAAACAACTGTGAAATGATCTGTCACAATGGTCACTTCTGCTTGTCAAGGAATGGATTTTATTTAGAAGAAAAACAGGATTGCACTTCCCTTTTGGGACATCTTTCAGTTCTTTGCATGAGCTAAACCAGAGGGTTCAACTAGAAATTCACAAACACCCCTGGGTCTGAACACAGGTTGAAACGGGCTGCTCTGATCTATTATCTTTCTGGACTGGAATTTTTCTCATGTACAATCAGTTCTATTCTTGCTTGTGCTTCACACAAATGGTGCAGCAGCCTGCCCGCTGTGAAGCTCCCTGGGGTGAAGGGGCGGGACAGCTGCTGGCCTTTCTTCCCAGTTTCATCCCCACGTAAGGAAAAACACTGACTTCCCTAAATTTATACAATTTTATATTTGTTGATGGGAAATTATTTAATTGCCTTCTATATAATTGGCATTTTCATTTTTATTTTTCCCAAGTACTCAGATAGTTTTACTGCCAGGAAATTTCATAGGTAACGAAAAGAAATTAGGATTTATCCCTATATTTTATGAACTCATAAACTAATGTAAACCACAGACGTCTATACTACAATTACAATAAAATATATTAAATGTCAAGAAAAACCAACGTGAATCTTTTAGAAAAGTCTTCTTAGAGGAAGTTTTACCAGAACTGGAACCACCTAAGGAATGGTTTAAATGTGTCAAGATAATTTGAAATTCAGGACAGCAAGGCTGGGAGAAGGAATAGTGAACCCTGGGAGCCCCTCAAGAGGAGATATGCACTGCTTATAGAAAACAGGTGTCAATACCGAGACAGGAGAATTGCCATGAGTGTAAGGCCACTGTGGGCTACATAGTGAGTACCAGGCCAGCCAGGGCTGCACAGCAAGCACGGCAGGATGCTGCTCCCACCCTATCCCCAAAACTTGGAAACCAAATCAAATCCTGAAAGGGCTTTCCTGTTACTGCAGCACTTCCCATCTTCCTGGGCTCGGGTAGCCTCTGACCCACAGCAAGCTCTCAGCAAAAACGACTGTAGCACTCAGTGAATGGCATAGCATATGTTAAGTACAGCGTATACACTCATTTTTCTTCTCTTTAAATTAATTTTAAGTAGTACCATATGTTTCCATGCATGTATATATTATAGAATATATATTTGTAATAAGAAAAACTGTTCTCAAACAGCTATCATTTCCTTATAGTGAAACTTTCAGAATCGTTTCCTCCAGCATATTAGAAACGCAGAATTCAGTTTTTATTTGTAGTTACCCAACTGTGCTGCCATATATTTGAGCATGCTCACTGTAACCTATCAGCTCCCCCTAAGCCTCCAGGCTTCTGATAAGGTCGCTGGTAAGAGAGAATTCTACTCTCAGCTGCTAGATCAACTGTTTCACACCCACATATGACTGAAATTACATGGCCTTCTGTCCATTGGACTTTTCTTAGCTGACATAATTATCCTCTATTGCAGCCCTGTTGTCACAAAAGATAGGATTTTATTCTTTTCATGGCTAAAAAGTACTGCATGGTGTATAGGTACAAGATGTTCTCTATTCTCTCATCAGCCTATTTCACATTGGCTATTTACATTTTCAGTTACTATGAATTATTCTGTATGGAACACAGGGGCCAGTGTCTCTTCAAAACACTGATTACATTTCTTTGAGTGTATACGCAGCAATGTGGCTCTCGGTCATAATTCTATTTTATAATTTCATTTTATAATTTAATTTTCTTTGAGGAATTTTCATGTTGTTTTCTATAATGCATAAATTAATTTATGTTCCCACTAACACGGCAGCTTTCCTTCCCATCATTGTCAGCACATTCTGTCTTATTTTTGGTGGTGGTGTTGTCTTTTGTTTTGTTTTTTGTTTTTTTGAGACAGCGTACCCCTGTCACCCCAGCTGTCCTGGAACTTGCTATGAGGCCAGGATGGCTTAGCTCTCATAGTGACCTTTTTTGGTAATGTTTTTCTGACTAGAGAGAGGTAAGATACCATTCCACTTTTCATTTGTATTTACCTTGTAATGCATGATGCTGAATACTTTTTCAGACACTTGTTCAATATTTGTATATTTTCCTTTTTTAAGTAATATTTTAATCTTTCAAAGTCTCACACGTTTATAAAATGAATAGTGATCATATATATCCACCGCTACCTGCCTCCAATCCCCTTAGCTCCTCCCCATCTTCCTCCCAACTTCATGTCAGTGCACAAGGGTGTGTGACCATCCACTGGAGCATGTGAAACCCACCACATCTCCAAAGAAAAATGACTGAATCTTCTTTTGAGGCATGTTTACTTAGTACTATTGTCCTTTTGGAAATTAGGCTGTGGGGGGCTTGCTAGAGTTTTCATCTTATGCTACATGTCGTATGCACACTACACAAATATTTCTCCTATCTTTAGATTGCTGCTTCACTCTATTGATTCTCTTCCAGTTTCAAGACGCTTTTGTTTCTTCATGTGCTGGTTATTCTGGCTTGGACTTCCAGAACTGTGTGAATGACAGTAGTGAAAGCGAGCCTCCTGGTCTAACTATAGTGCACAGAGAATGTGTTCCACTTTGTTCTGTTCAGGCACTAGCTGTTATCAGCAAGGTATTTGTTATTGAGTTATCTTTATTTAATACTGAATTTGTTCGCTGTTTTATAATGAAAGGATGTTTAATTTTATGAAATGCCTTTTCTGTCTCTAGAGAAACAGTAGTTTTTGTCATTCAGATGTCAAAGTGTATCATGGTTGTTTGTTTGCCTATATTGAAATGATCCTTGCATCCCTGCCACAAATCCTAACTGACTGTGGTGAGCAATCTCGTTAATTGGCTGCTGGGTTCAGTTTGCTGGTATGATGTTGAGGATTTTTGTGTCTATGTTCATAAGATACTGGCTTGTGGCTTGCTTTGTTGTGTCTTTACCTGGTTTGGGCATATAATTAAGATCCACTGGCGTGTGGATAATGCATGTGTTTGAACCAAGTATTTAATAGCATGCCATGATTACAATAAATGCTTGAAAAACACACCTGGGCCTAATGAATAGCTATTGCAATCTCATTTAAGTAAAACAGGTTACTAACTAAAGGCATTGGTATATCTAGTGTTGGACACCAATACAAAAGGTAAGATGTCTAGGTGGGTGTTTGTTTTTTGAGACATGGTCTCCCTGTAGCCCCAGCTGGCCTAGATCTCACTCTGTCATCCAGGCTGGCCTTAATCTCAGAGATATCTGCCTGTCTCTGCAGCCTGAGTGCTGGGATTAAAATAGTGCACCACCATGCTCAGCTTCTAGATGTGTCTTAAAATGAGAAGATTTCAATCTGCAGCTAGTTACCAGGTTGCATTGCACATGTATATTTGCATCTGTGGACTGCTTAATTTTTATGTTAGATATTTACAAATGTGCTGAATACAGATAGCATAATATCACAAACCCCAGCTAACTATAATATGCATTTTATATTTATAAATAGAATCCATATTTCTTCCATCCCCCCCACACTTATTTATAGTCTAAAACTTTTGATGCAATAATAACAATGGAAACTTAACAATACCAATCGCTAACTAATGATTCTTTAGTAGATTAGTAAATTTTTCTTATTTACCTAAGTATATTATTTGACAAAAGAGGTTTCAGAATTGGTCTATATATTGAACATAGGAAGTCATTTTTAGTATAAAAAGATTTCCCCCTCTCTGTTTTTTGGGAGTGTTATTTGATGCTTAATAAATTGTATTGTTTGTTCTAGAGACTGTCCTATATTCTGAACTTGACTTCCATTAATAGAAAAATGTTACTACCTTATCAAATTCTGAAGTACTCTTGAGTTTTCTGTCTGTAGACACTATAATGAAATCATGGATTGTATGGTCTTTTTTTTGTTTCAACCCATTATAGAGATTTTTCACCCTGATACTCTGTTTACCTCTTTTGTCAGTGGAAGCCCTGTCAGTTCCTCTCTATGCCCTGTGCTCACAGGCCCCACAATCTTGTGTCCTCACCATAAGAGGCTCTTAGCACATTTTGATGTAAATTTCCTTTCTCAGACCTAGACTTAGACAATCTTCAGAGGAGCCTTGTTTCCTTTAATTGGGAAATGATATTTAGAAGACGCTGGGGGCTTGGGGAGGTTTCCTGGGAGGAGAGGTCGAATGCAGTTTTATAAAAGGGAAAAGAGAATATTGGAGTAGAAAGGATTATGGGGGTGGGAAGTGGAAAAGCAGAGCAGAGAAGGAAAAATAGGGAGGGATAACTCTCACGGAAGGCCCCTAGAGAAATCATATGGAAACCTAGCACCATAGAAGGTTCCTAAAGTATATGTATACACACTAGAACAAAGATTAAAAGGAGTTACCTTACAAGGGGAGATTACTCCTACTAGACACCATAGGCTAACAAACAAAACCTTTATGCCGCTAATGGAATCTCTCCCTTTTAAAGCTGTTGACCAGGGATCCCACAGACCCCCAAACAATACTGGCCATGGATGCCTCTCTTGGTTAACCACAAGAACTTGATAAGACCGTCTTGCTGAAGACATTTCATCCAGTAGTTATAGAACAAAGAAGGAGAAATCTAGTTGGTACTGACATCAAGGTTTAATTTCTACTGGATAGCTTTCATAGTGCTGAAAGATACTATGCAAGATACATGAAGAGAAAAGTAATCATCAGCCTTGCCCAGCTGAAGATCATGCAAGCTACAACAACTGGCCTGGCAATAGCAGTACAAATGTTAGGGAAATAACTAATCACCTTCTTATTGGATTTAAGGGTTTCACAAGCTAGAAAACTCACCTCACAAAGACTTCAGACCTAGGAACCTATGGCTAGACTGCTCATAGACTAGGCCACAGGGAAGAGCCTACCACTATTATTCTAATAAACACACATAGTATCAAACTGACCCCTGAGATTAATGCACATCTCAGCTCTCACCACAGAAGCTTCCTGCTACAGCAGATGGTGATTAACTCAGAGATCACAAATGACCAATATGCAGAGAAAAAAGGACTGCAGAGTGCATATCCCTGAATAGAACACCTATATCAAACCTCTGTCACCCAAGGTTCAGGGTCATTGTGAAATATGGGCGAGAAAGATCATAAAAGTGAGAGGTGGTGGATGACCACAAGGAAACTGATTTTTCCAGACAACTGGGTAGTTACTTAAATGAACTTGCATCAATGGTGACAGCATGCCTAAGTCTCACATCATCTCAAGCCAGTCAAAATCCCAGCCTAGAAGTGGGGAAGTGTGGAAGAAGATGCAACACTAGCTGAAGAACTACTGACAAGCAATAGCTGCTGGAAAGGGGGAGTTGGTTTACTTTAAGGATGTGATGCTGGATAGGCTAATGAAGCTCCAGTAGATAGGCCCAAACTCAGAGCATTTGGAACACACATTTGACTCTATGGCCTCTCTCTCTCTCTCCCTCTCTCTCTTTCTCTCTCCCTCTCTCTCTCCCTCTCTCTCTCTCTCTCTATATATATATATATATATATATATATGTATAATCTGAGAATATATAGTGTGGTGTGACACATTTGACTCTATGGCCTCTCTCTCTCTCTCCCTCTCTCTCTTTCTCTCTCCCTCTCTCTCTCCCTCTCTCTCTCTCTCTCTATATATATATATATATACATATATATATGTAAAATCAGAATACATAATGTTGGGTGTGGAGTATTAAAGTGTGGTGCAGATAGGGGATGGAGGATTAAATATGATCAAAATATACTGTGTGAAATTTTCAAGACTTCAACTAAAAATGAAATAAAGGAAAGAACCCACTGTGGAAATTTGTGATTGCTGCTGGATTTCTGATGGTTTTGGTATGTGTTTAATGGCAGATATTTATAGAAAGAAAAGATTAAATATGAGCTCGTCTTGATGCTTTAAATTACTTTAATTTTTGTGGGTAAATTTATATTTCTTTTCTGTCAAATATTTGAATACTGGTCATACGAACATTATCAAGCAGTTCAATTATCCTACATATATATTCAAATTAGCTAAAGATTTTAACAAGTCTGTGGAAAATTCAATATTCCCTGCCATTTCTACTCTTTGTTGATACTATATTATGCTAGATTTAAGGCTGATAGTGTCATTTAAATTCACTTTAAAAGATGTCTTTGGAGATGGCTCAGTGGGTAAAAGTGCCTAATAACAAGACTGACCACCTCAATTTGAGCCCAAAAATCCACATGGAGAAAATCAAGTCTTGCAAGTTGTCTAAGGATCAATGGCTTGTGCATATCATGCCACTCCTACACAGAATAATAAGTAAATAAGGGATAGAATTTAAAATTTCACAGATAATTCTGTATTGGCCTTAGAGATAAATATTTGGTATGCAATTAAGTTGATGCCAGTTTTATTATATGTATGTAAGTGTACCTGTGTCACACAGTTGTTACTTGCCATGTAGGTGCTGAGAATCAAACCTAGCCCTCTACATGAGCAGCTGGTATTCTTAGCCACTGAGCAATCTCTCCAACTCCAAGTTGATAAAATTTTAAATTGTATTTTATATTGTTTTGAGAAGACATATTGCAAGGTATGACACTTTGAATTCACATGTATACAAAAACTTATCTTTACAAGTCTACCAACTTTTCTTCTTAATAGTAATATCTTGTCTGCAGTTGGTCTTTCTATCTGTTAAGATCTCATTTGCTTGCTTGCATGTCTTTTGTCACTGCAAGCTGTCATTCTAGCATTTAGGCAAAAAATAAAAATCATTGTTAGCTACTCCATTTTATATAGACTGCACTTTCTGTAAAGGAAGACAGATTATTTTAGAGAAAGATTTCCTTAGAGCATTCTCTTTGAAGACCTTGGGTATATGGAAATAAATTCAGCTATGAAGCACTATGTCCAGCAACTTAGTGCAGGAGAGGAATGCTGTTTGTAGCAGTATCTACTTTAATGTGAATATCATTTTGAAAAGATTCATGCTAAATTGAGATTTTGGGTTTTCATATGTATACTGAATAACTAGTAATAACATACAAGATAAAATCATAAGCCTCGGGCAGTATAGGTTGATGGTCCACAGTTTGCAGAAGCAGCTGGAACATATTACAAAAACAAAAACAAAACAAAACATTACCATGCCATGTCTGAGTTCACAGGAAATGTGTTTAACTCATTTTTGAACGCAGGCATAGTAAGGGCCTGACAGATTAATGTGAAAAATATATCATTCTCTTGTAGATTTCTTTTAAAAATGTTTGGTGTTCTTTTAATAGATTTTTAGTGAAACTGGCATTTTTCTGCTTTTCGTGAGAGATCTTTGCATGCTGCAAGTTCAGACTTACTGGCCTTGAGGTGAAAAGTAAAATATGATTGTGTCCAAACCCTGGATTCCTAACTACAATATGACTTTTCCAAAAGTCCAGTTCTTGTAAGAATTCCAACAACTGGAAAAGTCTGGGTTTATGCATTCTTCTACAAACAGTAGAGGGATGCTGTGATTCCCAAATAGGCAGGACTCAGTTGATGCCTAGAGAAATTAAGCCTGAAGCAGAAACCTCCAGAGCTGTGGGGCTTTTCCCCCAACAGACTAGATGTGCTAGGATGAGTTTTATGAGGGGTAATTGCATACGCTTACAAACCAGGCCTTCAGGGTTCTATGGTAGCACTGTGTGAGAGAAAGAGCCCTGATGTCCATAGGGGACTGGCAAAACACATTTTTCCTTGGGCTTATTTACATCTTCTGTTTTCTTTATATGCAACTAAGCAACAACAACAAAACTACTTAAAAGTGACTATTGCTGAACTTTGCCCTGGTATTAAGAATACAAAGTTTGGATCAATTTGGTTTGATTGAGATAAATATGCACATGTATTATTCATTAGTTTTAAAGTATCTGATACATCACACAGAAACCCAAGCACAGTTCAAGCTTTTAGAATTATCTAGAGAAATTCTCTTTTTCTTTTCACCTGAAGTATAGGTCTTATTAAAAATGGATTATGATTCATCATCTAAAGAAAGCTCAACCCATGGTTTCATGAAAATTGATGACCCACAGTAAAGTTTATAAGACTGTAACTACCAAAGAAAGAAAAACTTTAAAATGCATAAAATATTGGTCCTAACTAGAAATATTACAGCAAATTTATGAACAAATTCATAGATGGCAAGGGCACCAGCCACAGGAGAGAGGGTTTCTAAGCATCTATTCCCAGCTCAGCCATTCACCAGTTGAAGTAAAACATTCTATAAAATTAACTGTCAATAGTAGCACAGTTATTCCCTATGTGGGGTGTGTGGCTCAGCAGACGAATTAATACCACAGCATGTCAGGCACAGGGTGCATTTCACAGCTGTCCTTGATGACACTTAGTCTCCTGAATAATAATTTTAAACGAGGCCTCAAAAACTTCTTGACTTTTTTCTCAAGTTTACAGAAATACCTACCTCATCAGAACCATCTGCGCAGTCAAACTCTCCATCACACCAGAACCTCGATGAAACACAGTCCCCATTGGTGCAGAGGAAGTCTTTCAGTGTACAGGTCTGTGGCTCTGGAGATAGAGAAATGGTATAGGGTGAGACTGTTCTATGCACGTGTTTTCTGAATGTGTATGGTATGCTGTCTGAGTAAATATTAGAGAAAAACACAGAAGGGCATGCAGAACAGTAAGATTGTTGAGGGGAAATGTTTCATGAAGAATCTATGGTAGGTAATAGAATAATATTGCAAATATAATTTTAACATTAGGAATAGAAATTTCGCTACAAAAACAAATAAAAAACCCACAAAAGTGAATAGTCTACTATTAAATAACAATATGGTAGCAAAGCAACATTAAGGGCCGAAAAGCCTACACATTGGTGTACTATGACAATGGGCCTTTCCAGCTAGATTTCTCAGTTATTTCACATGTTACTTTAATAGACTTTCAGAGTCTCTGTATTTATTGAGATGTTCAATAACTTGATAGGAAAGTTAACCATTGATACTTTGATAATAAATTTTAGCTATGTGTGCTACTGATTTCAATTACTTGATTTTTGTCATGAGGAAACCCAGAGTTCATAGGACAAGAAGGAGGTTTGAATGTAATATTGGAAATGAAGAAGTGGATAAGAGATAAAGAATCCAAAAGAAGCTGTTTTAATCGAAAAAATGAAAAAAGGTAATTTGCTTTTGCAATTGCTTCTGTATGGCCTATAGAATTTACCTGTCGATTCTGATAATTTGCTCATTATTGATTTAATTATAATCATTATTGATTTGCTTATAATTGATTTAATTCTGTCCTTGTAGGACAAAATTCAAATGGCTTGAGCAATGTGCCTTGTCTTAATTTAAGAATGGCTTCAGAATCTTGTTCCTGTTGGTAATCAATGTGACAACTGGACGCCATCTTTGTTTCGATTAGTGTCTCACATGAGGAATGATGGCTCCTCTGTTTTCTTTATTATCTGTTTAAATTTTTCTATTTATAGTTTATTATGATGAGTATGTAAGTTCATTTTAATATAAGTATTACAGTGTACTTAAAGCTTATGACCTTTCAGTGACTTTGCAGCTGTGACCCATGCAATATTATTAATGTCCAAGTGAAGGAGGAATAGCTAACAGGTATTAAACTTAAGGAACACCCACTTGAAGATGGAAGCTCTGCACAACAATTGTGAACATTCAGCCTTCTTCTAGACTTTGCTCTACCTCATCATCTGTTCACTCTCTGATCATAGAGCACCATCTAGGTTATTGTCATGAATGCTTTTACATTGTTATGAAAAAAGCCTTTTAGAAAACTTTGAGGAGCTGTGAAAATGTGATATATACAAGAGAGCACTTGTTCTGCCTTTGGATTAACCTAGATTTTAGCATGTGACCTTCAGTCTATGAATAAATATTCAGAAGAGTAAGAAAAGCTAGAGATTGGGCTTAATGGTGCATATTTATAGTCCAAAGTTTAAGACCAACCTGGACTACATAAGAAGTTCCAGGCTAGGGTGGATACTAGTGAGCCTGTCTCAAAGAAAAACAAAAACCAAATAAAACAACAACAACAAAAAAACAAAAACCCCTGCCACATGGATTACTCTGACCACGCCTCTCTACTCCTGTGTGTAGTGGGCATGATCATAGCTGTTTTCTTCTTGCCTTTATACTTATTCATATCTGTTTTGTTTTATTCTTAAAATATCTTTACACTTGTAATAACCATAATGGCCTGATAATAATGATCTATTTGCCATTAAGCATTAGATAAATTTATGGCTGGGTATTTGAATTAAGTCACTTCTGAAAGCTCAAAATAGCTCAATAAAGTATGCGTAATTGTTGTTCCAAACCTAATTGAGTAAACTGTGGCACAGAGAGAACAAGAAATTTACTCTAAATGACCTAGCATTCAAAAATAAAATCTGGAACCCAAATCACTTGAATTTCAAGACCATACTTTTTAAAAAATTTTTTGTTATTCTAAAGAGAAATAATTAACATAAAAATATATATCACAATGAAGTTTAAGGGGGGAAAAAATAAGAATAAGAAATCAAAGACACTAAAGGATTTGGCAAATGGGTCAACTTTGGTGGAATAATGAAGGTTTCCAACTTTTGACCAGTGTATTACATCATTGTTTTCTATAAAATGTAGGAAGTGCTCACATGTCAGAAAGAGTCAGCATTGTCAAAACACCCCAGGAGACTGAATTTTTCTTCTTAGATATATGCCTAATGTTGTCTATTTGCTTATTTGCTCATGTCTTCAGTCCATGTTAAAGCTGTTGCATGACTGGACTTTGAAGACATATGCACCTTGGTATTTAGTAAAAAAAAGTATATTAAAATATTATGTAATTT